TGCCTGTGCCCTCTCGCAGTCTGGGACCCCTCCGGAAATAATGACCTCCTGGCTTAGGCCTGCTCCCTGGTGGCAAAGGGCAGGCCCAATCCCTAGGTGCAGCCCCTGGTCAGGCTCAAGCAGGGTTGATTGGGGAGTTGGGGCACCACCCCCTGTCATGCACAGAGCAGGGCGGATCAGGTGGTAGCAATGCCACCCTCAGGCTCAGGGTAGGGCCAATTGGGGGGTTGGGGCATCGCCCCCTGTCACACTCAAGGCAGGGTCAATAGGGAGGTTGTGGCGCCACCCCCTGTCATGCACAGAGCAGGGCCGATCAGGGGGTTGGGGCACCGCCCCCTGTCACACTCAAGGCAGGGTCCATAGGGAGGTTGCGGAGCCACCCCCTGTCATGCACAGAGCAGGGCCAATCAGGGGGTTGGGGTGCTGCCCCCTGTCACGCACAGAGCAGGGTCGATCAGACGGTTAGGCTGCCAGCTCAGAGGCCGGCAGCAGCAGGCAGGGAACGTTGGATTCCTCCGTCACTGAAGCAAGCAAGCCTCATGTTCGCTTCAAGCTGCCTGGCTGCCGGCTGCCATCTTGGCTGGCAGTTAATTTGCCTATTGCCCTGATTAGCCAATGGGAAGGGTAACGGATGTATGGCTAATTACCATGTTTCTCTTTTATTAGATAGGATGACTTAATGATGCTATGTGGGTCACTTTTGAAATGAGACAGATAGGACACAATACAATTAGGGACACATTTACTTCTCTTTCTGCACATTCCTATATCTGCATATCTACGTCTTTGTATCTGTATAGACATAGGTAAAAATATAGAGGTAACAATATATTGTAGAATGTTCTAGTATGAGGCAGTGACGCACCATTTATTACTGGACTTGGTTTTCCTCTTCTGCTTCTAAGCACCTTGGGCATTTCAAAACTGTCCATCTTTCTTTGTCCCTCTACAGCAGTGGTTCTCAACCACTTTGATAGGTTGAACAGATGACTAGATGACTGGACACTTAGCATATTAGGCTTTTATTATATAGTATTTTCATTAAAATGATATTACAAGCCCTGCTTTCCAAGAAGGAAACCGGAGGTGGATATGTAACTTCTCAGCATCTCCCAGCTGGCATGCGGCAGAGCCCAGGTTCTAAGGAATGGATGTGTCCACAGGGCAGGCTGTCTCAGCAAACCGTGCAGCCCAGATTCTTCCCCAGAGACTGTGACACACGCCCTGTGCTGGGTCTTGTGCTGGAGGCAGGCCAGCAGAGGCTGGTGTTTGGAGCCTGGAGGACTTTATAATGGTTTCCAGTCTCAGCATAGATGATTCACCCTCATTCCCTACATGAAATTGGACTTTCTCGAGTTATAGGCAACCTTTGTAGGTTGAATCATGTGACGTTCCCAAAACTTCAAAAATAAAGCAATTCCTGTTCTGGGTCTTTTGAAATGGGTATGTTTTCCTCATGAATTTCGATGGATTTGGGGAGGGAAGGCTGGGCAGAGTTTGTCTTCTCTCCCCATAAGGCATCTCTTAGCTTATGCTCTGGGAAAGAACCTACACACCATCCTGAGAACTACCTGAGGCCACTCTCCGCTTGCCCTCTCCTGGATGCTGTTGCTAATAATAGCAGCACCGGCCACCTCTGAGACACCGATGCCTTTATGTATAATGGGCAGCATAGATTTCTGTGGAATGCTGTTCATTTTGTGAATAATGGGCCTCCTTGTATAAACCCCCTCACTTCATCTTTACAACAACCCTGTATAGTCGGCCTCATTGCTGCTTTTCGGATGTTACTGAAGAGGAAACTGAACTTTAGAGAAGTAATCATTTGGCAAGGTTGCTAAGCCTTGCACACCAATCCAGATCTTCTGACTACAAGCCTGGCCACATACACTAACCTTCGCCCACCCATGGACCAAAGGACCACCTTGAATACTTAGCTTCCAGGGCCATGTTTTAGTACAAGTGTGTGTGGGTTCGCGAATGCATCCCCTGCATCCATCTAATGGACTGTTTAGAGCAAATCTTACTTGTTTGAAAACCCTTCAGAGCTGATTTCATATGGACCTTTTCCAGCCGAAACCACAGTACCCGCCCTAGAGCAGGGAGCAGGAGCTGGCCCATGGAGGCTCTCATGAGGGCCACTGACCACTGGCCTTTACTATTGTGTCCAGGTCAGAGCTTAACCTACACTGCTGCCAATGACTCGGAAGGAGAGAAGGAATAATACAAATTTACCCATTTGCTTTCAGTCTTTACTCTGCTATCTCCCAGGGGAAATATAATCAGAGGACAAGGGTATCTTTGAAAGGAAAGGCAATAAAGAGACCGAAGTTTCCAGTAATCAGCTATCTTCCTGTCACTCCTGCTGTGTTTGCAGTGGGGGCTTGTGACATCTAAGTGAATTGTGTGGAGTGTCTTGAAGCTATTAGTGTCCCTTTGCATCTTCTGAATATTGCATATGCCAATAAGTGCCAATAGCTGAATTATTAAGATTTCAATTCACCCTCAGGGTCCCGAGGCAGAGTTGGCAAAAGTAGTGACTTTAATATAAAAGATTGTCTGACAGCTTCCTTTTCCATCTTGCCAAAGATAGAATATGATTTTGGCAAAGTGAGCCAATGATTAAATGAAAAAGCAAATCAATTAATGGATGTATGAACAATTAGGTGAATGAATATACAGATATGAAAGTCTGTGTTCATTGGAAGGGAAATCTAAGTCCATATGATTTAATGATGCTATGTGGATCACTTTTGAAATGAGACAGATTGGACACAGTACAATTGGGGACACATTTACTTATCTCTCTCTGAGCATTCCTATATCTGCATATCTACATCTTTATATCTGTATAGACATAGGTAAAAATATAGAGGTAACAATATATTGTAGAATGTTCTAGTATGAGGCAGTGACGCACCATCTATTATTGGACTTGGTTTTCCTCTTCTGCTTCTAAGCACCTTGGGCATTTCAAAACTGTCCATCTTTCTTTGTCCCTCTACAGCAGTGGTTCTCAACCTTCTGGCCCTTTAAATGCAGTTCCTCATGTTGTGACCCAACCATAAAATTATTCTTGTTGCTATTTCATACCTGGAATTTTGCTACTGTTATGAATCGTAATGTACATATGCAGGATGGTCTTAGGCGACCCCTGTGAAAGGGTCGTTCCACCGCCAAAGGGGTTGCGACACACAGGTTGAGAACCACTGCTCTACAGCGATGCATTATTAAGAAATTATTTGTCTTTAATTATTTTGTCAGCATTTATCTATATTGACATTTTAAAGATTTTGTTAATTATTTGTGTAACATTATTATTTTTACCAATATGAATCATGTACTATTTTTACTTTCAAAGTCAAAATCCAGTAACCTTCATTCTGATTTTTTTTTTTTTTGGACTTTTGAGAAAACGTAATTCTGCCTGTTAAACATTGGAGACATGTGGGTTATTAGTGGGCTGGCTTAGGAAACAGTTTTAAGATGAATTGGAATGTTTGAGCAGTTTAATTTTATGCTGTAAGAAATGTGTCCTTTTTTAGAGCTGGAAAATACTTTAGAGATCATTGAAACCAAACTCAAACTCTTTTTCCCTTTCCTCCCCCTACTTTATTGACACTGACAGGCAAGGAGGTAAAATTACTCATCCCCAGTCACAATCTTGCCTCTTAGTGTGCTAATCAATGGTGGCTGCATGCAGTGTATGTGTTCATCATTCTTGTCCCATAGGCCTTGGGGCATTTTTATTTCTTAGACCTTGATTTGCGCATTTCTAAGACTGAGGAGTTGAGGGTGAGGGAGCCACGCGGTGTCTACGTGGGGCTCCTCTTCAGCCCTGAGAACCGAGGAAGAGGAATGACGTCACTGTGGTAAAGATGCTCAGATGACAAAAGCTTTCCGAGGTGTCCCCTTTCCTCCTTGGCTTCATCTATAAGCATCTTCAGAATTAAATTCAACCCCCATCGCAGTGAATGTTTTGCCCTAAGTTATTGTTACAGAATGTCTGATGTCTCCCAGATAGTGTCTTGAAACTTTATATTTTGAATTATTATTCCACAGTAACCGCCCTGCCACAGGGGAGATGGTTTTGCTGTGCTTATATTTGTATTTTTTTTAATGATGATAACACTGACACCCCCCCCCCCCCCCCAAAAAAACGCTGCCCCCCCCCCCCCCCCCGTGAGGTGACTTGTCTAAGCTTGTTCTCAGCAGAGAAAGGTTTCACACACAGGTCTCCCAGTTTCTAACACTCACATCCCTCTCCTCTCTCCTAGCCTTCCATTTTCCCTGTTCTGGGCAAGGCATGTTTTAAAGGTCCCTGATTTAAAGGTTTTGCCCCTGCATGTTCTTTCCTGTAAGCCTCCCCAAATACTTTTGACAAACAGGATGAATAAAAAAAAAAAAAACTGCAGTTAAGTGCCTTGGAATTCAATGGGGATTGCCAAATTCTATCCTTGTTAACTGTGTGTTTTACAGAGACTCTGTGTGTAGGTCTTATTTCCCCCTGGAACGTGTGGTTTTCTGTGATAACCACGGTTGCTAGTGTTTCTCTTGTGAAGAAGGGTGTGCCAGTGGATGGAGGAGGGCTTTGGGGGACTCACACCCTGGGTTCCAGTTCCTGCTTACTCACTACCTGCAATCCTGAGTCTCTTCATTGCATTTCCCCCACTTCTGACCTGGCTGTGTCGGCTCCCTTCAGATTTAAGTAACATTGATTTTAAATGAGATAATGAGATTAAATGCTTAGCTTGCAGCCTGTGGAATCGGCTCCAAAACAGCAGCTCTTAAGATTACTAACCTGCCTTATCCCTTACTGGAGCTCTGTGAGGAGCAAAAACTCTCTGGTCAAATCCTGGGCATGAGTAGAGCAGCCAGTAGTGATTGTGGCCCAATGGGGAGCCGCCATCACATGGCCTGCACCAGCCTCTTTTTTCCAGTGTGATCCTTTTCTGAACTTTCTTCTAACCCTCCTTCCTTGGGCTGTGTTTTCTGGGCAGAGGACAAGATCTGGACATCGGTGCAGCACAACAACACAGAGCTGACCCGTGTGCAGGGTGCCAGCCCCGAGAAGCCCTACTCCATGGCCTTGGACTACGGGGGCAGCCTGGGGCAGCTGGAGGCCGTGATCGACAGCTCGGAGCACTGTGAGCAGGAGGTGGCCTACTACTGCAGGAGGTCCCGCCTGCTCAACACCCCAGGTAAGGCTCACAGGCCCCCCTGCTCTGATTGGCCATGCAGGGTGACCACATGCAGAAGGGCCCCATAACCCGGAATATCACAGAGGTGGGTGTTTGCCCACAAGGGGGCTGCACTGAGCCGGGAGGGAAAGGCTGCTGGGAGAGGACTGTGATGGACCATCTACTGATGCCCAGGGTGGGCCGGGAGCAAGTTCCATTGCCTCTTAAGGTCTCTCCTCATCTTCCAAAGGGAAGGATGGCCACACCCACTCTGCCATAGCAGTGACCATGAATAGGGCCTTGAAAGCAATGGCACTTAAAGTGAGCACGAGAGCCAGACATAAAAACGTGCAGGTGACAGCATATGGGAAGGCAACAGGGTCTCCACACATTCCCCAAGAGCAAGGAGTGGTGTCTGGGGGCAAAACATTGGGGGCGTAGTGCGAAACAATGAGCCCGGTGGGTAGCAGGTCCTGTGTGCTGCCTGAAACGCAGAGGCCTCTGGAAATGCATTTTATAAAAATAACACTTGCTTTCAGAAAAAAAATTAGATAAACCCTATTTTTTAATCTTTTTTGATGGTTATTTTTTAGAGTGGCTAGTTTATTTCATTATTAACATGCTTGCAAGAACGAAGAACAAAACCAAACAGAAATTTCCTAGAACTGCTTACAAAAACACCCAGGGGCGGGGGGAGGGAGAGGCTTCTTACCATGGGGATGTGAGGTGTCCAAAAAAGTGTCAGGATCTTTAGCTTCATGTAATTTAGAGCCCAGTGCTTGGAAGTTGGGAATGGTGAAAGGCCTGGGAAAACTAGACCCTGAAATGTCAAAAGGAGAAGGTCTGTGCACCTCACTAAATGTGACCCACAGCCGCCCTGATCTAGAATCTTTAGGGGACACCTTGTTCCACGTGAGTTTTCCAGATAACTGTCCCTTATTCCTTTAAACACCAGAAATCTTTAAAGTAGTTTCTAACTATTTGAAATGAAAATCTTTTTCAAATAGATTACATGCTTCCTTGCCTTCTTAAGCAGATAATTCTGAATATAAAATGTAACCTTTTCTTGATGACTCAGTACCATCACTGGGAAAATCAGTTACTGCAGGGCGGCGAGTGCACAGAGCGGGCAGGCTGAGGTCGGAGCACGGGTACCGGGCCCTTTCCCAGTCCCCAGTCCCTGTCCCTCCCCCTTCTCAGCACAAAATGCCTGTCTCAGCACCCGGCGCCCCCTCTGTAGGGTGCTGTTCCCAGTTTCCCAGGTTGGGTTTGGCGGACATAGGGAGGAGGTGAGCATGTTGCTGTGACCCTGGGATGTCCTCCAGCATCTGCGTTCTGTGCCGTCCCTGTGGCCACCCACTGACGTCCTGCGTGTTTTATTTTTCTGCCATCACTGCCTTTTACTTGACGTGGACATTGAGCAGGAGGGGCGTGGGTTTGGGAGCAGGCCATGCTGGGAGTGAGGTCATGCCTCCTCTTTCTAGTTATGTGACTGTGCAAGTCACTGAGTGTCTGGTTTCACAGCCAAACCATTTGCCTCAGAACCTGAGCGGCAGAGGCAGCAGGAAGACAGACAGAAGGGAGCCTGTGCTCCCACCACAGTGTGTGGCCAGCAGACCCGGGGGCCCTGTTTCTTTCCTTGCGCACAGCCTCCAGCCCAGAGGGAAGGCCCCAGACTGGTGCTAGGATGGGAAACAAGCTCAGGGAGAGGCTATCCTTATTTTAAATGTGTAAATAGAATGGTTATACTGACCATAACACATACAAGAAAATAATGTCATCCCCCGGAGCAGACGGATGTTGTATTTGGTGTGTATCCTTCCAGATGTTTGGCCACATGGATATGCACAAAAGCACAGTTGGAACACACTGTATGTGTGTTGGGGTTTGAAGGTGTTCATTAATCCCCCCTTCCCCCATGGGTCTGAGTCAAAGGAGGTAGAGGAAGGAGGACAGTGGGCATGCTCATAGTGTCCGCGTCCTCCTGGTGAGCTGGCTTGAAAAGCTCAGTGTGGGCCAGAGCCTAAGGGGCCCCTGGGCCTCCACCTGCAGTGCTTGTGGCACTGGGTGAGGTGGCGCTGCTGATAGAGTGCCTCCTAGCAACGTGGCCTGAGCCTCTCACCCCTCACACCTAAACGCCAGCCCACGTAGGCTCACCTCATAGGTGTGCACAGGGATCCCAGATCCAGGGCACTGACCTAAGGGGGATCCTGTCACAAATCCACAGACTGGCCGGCCCCTAAAGGCAGGGTTCTGGTCAGGGCCTCTCCTGGTCACACAGCTACTTTTCTTCATGTCCTCACATGGCAGGACGAAGGGGAGTGAGCCTGCACTGATCCCGTTCCTGAGGGCTCCACCCCCTCCCCAAGACCCCCACCTCCTAAGACCATCACACTGAGGGCTCCACCTCCTCCCCAAGACCCCCACCTCCTAAGACCATCACACTGAGGGCTCCTCCACCTCCCCAAGACACCCACCTCCTAAGACCATCACACTGAGGGCTCCACCACCTCCCCAAGACACCCACCTCCTAAGACCATCACACTGAGGGCTCCACCACCTCCCCAAGACACCCACCTCCTAAGACCATCACACTGAGGGCTCCACCACCTCCCCAAGACACCCAATGAGCCCGGTGGGTAGCAGGTCCTGTGTGCTGCCTGAAACGCAGAGGCCTCTGGAAATGCATTTTATAAAAATAACACTTGCTTTCAGAAAAAAAATTAGATAAACCCTATTTTTTAATCTTTTTTGATGGTTATTTTTTAGAGTGGCTAGTTTATTTCATTATTAACATGCTTGCAAGAACGAAGAACAAAACCAAACAGAAATTTCCTAGAACTGCTTACAAAAACACCCAGGCATGTCCAAAATGTCACGTGGGCTTGGCCATGATTATCCCCACCCTGGGAATCAGTCAGTTTTATAAACATAATTAAATTTCATTGTTTTTAATAATTAAAT